ATTGCTTTTTTTATTATCATCAGCTTCATTAGATCGTTAATTTATGTGATGAAACCCAGATCTGGGTTTGAGAAAAACCTAGATCTGGGTTTGAGAGAAAAACCCAGATTTGAGTTTTGAGAGAAAAACCCAAATTTGAGTTTGAGAAAGGAAGAAGAAGGGAGAAGAAAGAGAGAGAATAAGCAGAAGAATGAGCGAAAGTAACACATTATTTTTTTTTCCTGGGTTTGAGAAAAACCCAAATCTGGGTTTAAGAAAGGAAGAAGAAGGAAAAAGGAAGAAGAGGAAGAAGAGGAAGAAGAAATCTGACGTGGGTGAAAAAAAAAAGAATTATTACTTTTAAATTAAATAAAAATGCCAACTCATAAAGAAAAGGCCAACTATACTTTTTTTTTCCATGTCATTGATTAAGAAAAAAAGAAGAATTGATTTGCTGTCATTTTAACGTGCCATCTGTCATTTAACTGACGGAAGGACCATTTTGGTACTAAAAATGAAAGTTTAAGGATAATTTTGATACCTTTTAAAGTTGAGGGACAATTTTGGTGTCAAAGTGAAAAGTTGAGGGACCAAAATGGTACTTAAACCAAAAAAAAACTTTACACTTCAAAAGAAGTCTATACACTTCCAAAGAAGCCTTTATACTTTATACCTCAAGATCTCAAGATCAATATCTATATGAGCTCATAAAAATCATTAGTACAATGCACATGCATCATTATAAAATAATAAATGATACAATAGGTAAAATAAAACTTATTACTATTAATAGAGAAATCAACTTCTCCCACTGATCAAGAATATCAAAATAAATCTCATAAATAACTAATAAAGTTAAATCTCTTGATAAGTAAATTAGTTAATATAATCACAATAACACATGACTATAATCATTATTCATAATTTCACCTTCATGTCACTCTTACTTTAGATCAAAAATTACCTTGGATATATCTTTTCCACTAAGTTCTATCAATAAGTTATCTATATAGATAACTAGCACCCATCAAATATAAAATATTCTAATGGAAACAATCCTCCATTATCCATTACTCAAAATATAACATAATCTTTAAACTTTAATCAAACACAAAAATACAAGAATGACGAGGCTTTATCAACTTTAATAAAGATAATTGCATCTTTTACAAGAATTATTTTCTATATAATTCATAACATAAGTATCTAAAGGTTTCTTCATTGCAATCAAGCAACTTTTTCATATCCATAATCTTATTATTATATATTGAATGATTGAGAGTAATAAACTGTTTAACTCTCACTAATTTTCAAGACACATTATTTCATCACAACCTTTAAATATCTTCTAATCAAGGAAAGTTATTTCCTTAAATAATAATAGACATTTCACAAGATTTTAAATTTTGCATTACTCTTATCATAATTACTAATGCCTTCCTTTTTACCTTTTCTTTTTTTAGTTGAACAACAAAATAGTAATATTGTATAATTCAAATCCATCATGCTAAAAAACATGTATCTCCAAATTTAATCAAAACTTATGCAATCAAAATACCAATCACTTAAGATATACATAAATTAACACCAATCGAACATTGGTAATATAATTTTAATAATAAAACTTTGTTTCCATAAAAGTGCCTCATAATATATTTTAATCTATAGCATGATTCACTTTGACTCATAAGAGTTCAAGACACAACTATACTTTATTTGCACTTCATGTTGATTAAATAAGTCCATAAAATTAATCTTAACAAGTCAATTAGTAGGAAAATTAACTTTTAATAAATATAAATCAATATTTATCATCCCTACTAATTGCTCTCACTACTTCAAGTTAATACATACAACAATCACCTTTGGGTAGAATCTTACATACACTATAATAAAAGTAGTAACTTTATACATTAACTTTAATAGTTCATATGTGATCTTCCCAATAGATCAACTAGTTTTAATGACATAGTAGTTTAATATAACTAATTCATATGAAACTTTATTAAACTTCAAAAGCTTTATTACAAGTGAATTAATAAGAATGGTCTCAAATAAAATAATCTCTTTTAGATAAAAAATTCTCTATAAAACCAAAATAAAAAACCCTTACTAACCACTTACACTTATTTCAGTTAATATGCACAATTATCCCCTTTAGGCAACTAATCATATACACTAATTTCAAGAAGCAAGCGTTCCAAAATCCTTATTGAAAATATATGAATTTAATAGATGACTCACTTTGGTAATATCACCCACGTCGATTCACATACTCCCATTGGAACATTTACCTATAAATAATAAAACATTCTAAAATCCTTATTGGAAAACATGTGAATCTTAATAAATGGTCTACTTTGGTATTACCATCTACATCAACTCACAAGCTCTCACTAGAGCAATTACCTATAAATAATAAAACATTCCAAAATCCTTATTGGAAGATTAACCAATCTCCCACTGAAACAAAATTTCTTAATATCCTAAAAAACTTAAGTGATAGAAATCATTAGTCATAATAAATAAACTCTTGATATTCACATTAGTCATAAAACATTATTAAGACTATTATGTATGTATATAGTTCTATAATCCCTCTCAATCATCTTTTATACTTTTTAATGATGGTCATTCTTTAATATATGAATTGAGAGAATCTTAAAAAAATTTTGGGAAATCTTTCAATACATTTTAGCTCTTTTGCTTTAATACTCAAAGGAAATTATATGAAATCCCATCAGTATCTTTAAATAAATTAAGATACATAAATTTTAAAAATTATTAAAACTTTATCAAATATTTTTTTTCTTTGAGATTTTAAAATTTTCATGCATTGCCACAACTAGGCTATCAATAATATGCATAATAGACACATATAATTATTTCTTGAAGATAATTAATTACCAAGAAAATCTATTATAAAACAAATGATTTAGCCTTAAATTATATATCATGAGATATACTCAAACTTTAATTCCACAAAACCTCTTTATAGAATTTATATGCTAGAGCCCACATATGAAAACAAATAACTTTATTTTAAATAAAATATCAATATGAGTAAAATCATACTCAGTTACCTTGCATGGTTGTACCTTTGTAATTTGTCTTGATATAACTTGACAAATTTTTGAAACTGTAATTCTCAACAATCTTTGGTGCACCTTTAATACATATTCTTTGAAAATTTTCTTAACTTCTATAAAGTTAGTAGAAAATAACAATTATACTTTCTCCAAATGCATAATTAACTTGCATAAATAGTTTATTAGCAACTATAAGTATGTTCTTTACATCCAAATATAGACACTTTATTTCTTTATTAGAAAATACAATGCTAGGAAACCCACATGTTAAACCACATATGAAGGTAAGTAATCTTTAATGAAAACTGAAGTTTCATAATTATCTACTTATTTATCTATAACTATAAATTTCTTTATTAATAGTCAAACTTAAAAACTTTACAAATGAGTAGTACAACCAATTTTAAGAACTTTAATCCAAGGATATTACATTATATAAATAATGGGTATATAAAGTCATGTACCTCCAATTGTGATTAATTGCTTTAATAAAATCCTAAAATTTAATCTCCAAGACGCATATATCATATGCATAATAATATTCACAAAATTATTTCAAACCAAAAACATAAAAACATATCTTATCAATAATTCTTTTGCCGCTAACTATATATATTTAACATTCAAATATTGACACATTTTATGTGTTACACTTAATATGCATTTTAATTTAGATGGAATAAATTAATATATATCTATTATGTAAACAATTATTTTGATTTATAAAATCAAACCACATAATAAATATTTTTTATGTATATATAATCTAAAATAATATTATATTAATAGATTTTTTCACATAAAATCTGATACATTATGTATAAATATCAATACACAATATCAAAAGGAAACCTTTTAATGCTCAATTGCTGCACATTACTTAAGTGTTGACACCTTACATTGTGTCAAACCTGCACAATAACTTATAACTAGTTATATGTCGACACTTTCACCCATGGTGGAAAAAACAAGTCCGTGTTGGACTTCTGGACCATTATGCAATTTCTAAGAATGGTAAAATAACAATGCTGGTCCTTCAACTTTGATTTTTCCCTTTTTTTTTTAAGTTAGTTGAATTCCTTAACATATTGGAATACCCAATTCCAATCAACTCCTTTTCTTCACTTCCCATTGGGATTCCAAATCCCAAACCATTTTTTTTTAATTTGTTAATACAAATAAAGCATTAAATAATAAAAGAATATCATAACATAAACTTATAAATCTAAAAGGTTTCAATTAAATTCACCTCCATATCACATCATTATTCATGAAGATTATTTTAAATATGAGAAAGAAAAAAGGATTAAATACTGATTAATTTTAAATTTAATATCTAAATATTAATTTGTGACCTTATTAAACTTTCAAGGACAAATTTCCTCTAAACAAAATTACTAAGGGATCAAACAGCAGTTTCTCCATTAATCATTAATCATCCCTGCCTATGGTTTCTCGTGGCCCTTACCTTCTGCGTTTTACCTTTCCCATTATTTATTTATTTATTTAGTTAGAGATCTTAACAAATTGGGATTCCGCCCCCCTATCTACTCTTTGGCTCTTATTCAAATTGGGATCCCAAAACCCAATTTTATTTGTTAAGGAGATGTTACGCATCTACTTATACAAGTCATTAGTAAGAGATTAAAACAAAGGAAAATCAAATCTTCTCAAAATCTTAGACCTGCAATAGGTTTTATGACCTGTTTTCTACAATTTCTTAACCCACGAACCACTCTCTAGTCTCCAAAATCAATAGATTTAATTAGAGACACATAAAATCCGATTAAGACACGTTAATATTAACGTAAATTTCTTGAACTTTTATAAATTAGTCAAAATCATGACTCTAAACACAAAATTTGACTCATAAAAATGGATTTACAAATATGTTTTATATTTTTTAAAGTCTTGACTATTACATAACCTCTGTTTTAATCTTAATTATAAAAACTAAGCAGATAATATTAAGATCAAAAATCTCAATCAATTCATCGAATTAGTGCGGAAACCATATTAAAATAAAAGACTTGGATCCTAAATCTATATATAACCTACTCTGATACCACATGTTGGAATTTTAAGAATCGGCATATGTAAGATTTTGTATACCAAAATCTAATAAAATAAATACATTACGTACCTGAATCTCCATAATCACTATGTTACCTAAGAATTTTCAAGGATTTTCAAGAATTATCATTGTCACGCCCCAGAACCCAAATCCAGGGACGTGGCAGACACCGTGCACTCGTGAGACGGGTCCCACAAGTGCACAAGTCTCGGAACTTATCCAAATCACAAAATCTCATGAATAAAATCAACCTTACAAAAGGATGATAAAATCTAAAACTTATACCCCAATTGAATGGCTAGCCTTCTAATTCGTCACTCCCCTCAGTTTCCCCGTCCTCGGTTTCGCTTCATGAAATGGTGGACAAGGAAAACTATGAGATAACTCAGTAAGTAAATATGGATAGCCCTTGGGTAAAACTTTTAAGCATGCCAGATAAACAATTTAATATAACCAAAACGCTCAGTGACAAAATCAAATTCAGTTCAATTGCAAAGCATTCATGACAAACCGTTCATGCAGAATAAAACTCAGTTCAGTAGTCTCATCTATAAGTCATGGTCATTTCTAGAAAAACCAGGAAATTCTCATTAAAAATCATCAAAACTCTCATTTCAGTTTAATCACATTCACATGCTAATAAAATCAATTTAAAATCAATTTGAACCTTGCCACCATCTCAAAAACAATTAAAACAAGCTTTAAAATCGAAGGGCTTTACCATAATTTACTTACCTCACTCACACAGAACAGAAGGCTAACCCAAGTGCTACGGTGACAGAACGATCAAAACCTAATCACAATATTCCACAATTAATAACCATACCACCACAAATTCAAAGTAAAATCATCATCGGGACTACCCCTAATCTCAATGCTATTTCTATCAATCTCCACATAACCGGACATCTCCAAACTTATTCTTATATCACAAACTAATCCTTTAAATCCCCGTTAATCATTAACCCTCGGTGTGTGAACAGTACCTCGTGAACAGTAACTTCAACTCCCAAATTAGCAAAACATAGCTAATTCACGGGGGTTTCACACAATTAACCTCACAACAACCAAATTAAGCTAGTTTCTACATGAATTAAACAAAACTCATGCTTAGAGGCTGCCGAACTTCCTCCCCTCTTTCAACAGAATTTCGGACAACAATGGGCAATTCAAAAGCAAAAACCCAATCAACACAAGGCAACAATTACATGGATAAATTGGACTTGGGAGCCGGCAACTTACCAGAATTCCAGCTAGCAGAACTCGAGCTTGGCTGGTGAGGAAGTCGACGGGACCCATGGGGGAAAACTCACGGCTACCTCAATCCAAAAACCAAAACACAATTCAAGGTAAACCCAAGCCTAAATCAAGAGAAAAAAGGGAGATTCAGGGCTGTTCTTACTGAAAAACGCCCAGAAATTTCAAACCCACAAGTTGAAGCCGACGGACAGCAGAGGGGGGAAAGACGCAGATCTGGGATTTTCTGGGTTCAACAGGTGTTCTAAGACAAGAAAATAGGGAGAAATCCCCAAGCTTTGCCGGATTTCCGGCTGGAAAATGGGTGGCGGTAGTTGGGGGGCTCGTCGGGTGCAGAGGGTCGGGGGAGGAAGGGAAGCAGAAGCAAAAACACGCGGCTATGAGGAAGAAAAGAAAGAAAAAGAAAAAGAAAAAGCAATTCATCCTTATCCTAATTTCCTTTCTTTTTTAACCCTTCAACTTTTTAAAATTTTACGATTAAGCTCCAAAACAATATTTTCCCTCAAATAAGTCCCCAATTTAATGCTAAAATACCCCAAAATTTTGGGATATTACAATCATAATTAGGGATCTCATGACAAAACCTACAAAACAAATATATTTAGTATTAAGATTTAGGTCTTCCTCTCCCTAATAAACTTTTGTATAATAACAACCAATGGGTTATGCCACTTCCTAACTCTACTATTTATAAAAGTAGGGTTTTTTGAATGAAAGAGAGGGCCTAACCCATTATAATAATCTTTTGGTCACTCCCATCAAATAGCCCACTTTTACTTTCAGGCCCTACACCTATTATATCACATCATATAAAACTGAAATAAAACTTAGGTCCATTCGGATCACATTACTTTATTGGCTTTATCAGTTTTTCCATTTGACTCAATTTTTGAAAACCAAATACAATTAGCAGCAATCCACATAGAAATTTCCAATAGGTTTAACTAGCCACTTAGGAAGAAAATAAAATAGGTGGTTTAACTAATCACTTAAGAGGAAAAATAAATAATAAGATAACACGAAATTTTATGTGGAAAAATCCCCAAAAACTCTTGAGGGAAAAAATCATGGGACAAACTTTGAAGGGTTTTGCACTATGTGATAAAATTGTACAGAGTATACACTGAAGTATTTTTCTCTTTTGGTGTTTCCCACTACCTCAATATATGATCACAGTCCTAATAAAACTCACAATTTTATCACTCAAAGTATTCTCTCATGGAGCACACTTATACTTAAGCTTAATTCCTAACTTTCACCCCTTTTTTTTTCTCACCCCGAGCTCTCACTTTGCTCACTTGGTGCTGCACTCTTGCTTCTTGCTTGGTTGGCATTGCCTTGCCATTGCATGGGTATTTATAGGGTAAAAACCCAACCACCCGTGCATGATTTTCTTCCCTCGTTAAATAAGTAAGCTTGCAATAGTTGAAATAACCATGCAGAATTCAAAAAGTGCTGCTATAGGTGTAGCCTTTTACCATAGGGTGTGAAGATTTTACCACATGAAAGTCCATGTGTTCACATGGGCTGGAAGTTTCTGCCAACACATAGTACTTTCGTAGCATATCGTCTATGCAAAGCTTCTCCGAGTCGAATTTTGCTGCCGCCTCCTCCTTCTCCTCCTTTTCCCACCTCTCATGTTGGGTCTTTTGAGGGAGGCAGCAATGGCGGCCGTAGCGAGGAGATGGCTTCATTGCGACTTGATTCTAACGGGACTTCTACCTATATTACAAGAAATTAAACGTGATCAAAACCCTACCTCATATCAAACAACATATCTCTAGACAACAACAATTTCCAAATTCAGTTACTCGATTTGGTATGTGCGGAAATTTGGAATTGGTGTATATTCACGAGCATCGCCACTCGATTCTAACAGCATATCTGGATCAAGGTCTGTGACTACATTTAGAATTGTTGTAAAGTGATGTAACTATAATTGTATTGGTAGCTATGTTATATTATATTATATGGTTGAAAGGTATTTTGGTATCTAGTTATTTATTTTTTAAAAGTATTGTAGATAACATATAATAAAATTTATTAATTATTAATTAAAATTTAAAAAGTATTAGATAATGTATAATTATTAAAATAAATAACATTTACTCTTTTTTAATAATTTAGGTCTTTTAATAATTTAAGTTTTTTAACTAACGACTTAAGTAGTTTAGTAATAATCACTTTTTGTTGAAAATAAAAAATTTTAAATTTGAGTTACATAACATGCAATTGTGGTAGGATAAAGGATGAAAAAAGATTGTCTCTTATTATACAACCAAAATAAAAAAAAAATAATTTAAGTCTTTTAAATTTCTTATGATGGATATTCTTTTGAGTTTTGTGAGATAACAACTCATAAAAAAGTAATGGATTTTTATTTTTTTGTGAAATGTTTAAATAAACAAGAAATTAAATTTAAATAAAATATTATAAATTGTAATGTAATTAAATTAAACAAAATTAAGTTTTAAT